GCCAGGGGCTGGGGAGGTGGTGGCTCGAGCAGATAAGCCCCCCTGCCTCGGAGCAGCGCGCGGCTGAAAGATCAAACCCGAAGCACACATGGCGATGATGCTGCTGGGTGACTGCCATGGTGACATCAAACAGTGTCCCCAGGGCAGGCGGGTGCTCCCAGAGCAATGCAGCTACAGGGTCTGCATGGGGGTTGGGGGGCACTTGGCCCCACTCACCCTAAAGACAAAGCATTCTCCGGTCCCAAAGAAGCCCAGTTTGCCTCCAAACTTATTTCTCTCACTCCAGTCTGTGGACAGGTAAGCACCACACACCTGGGGGAAAGGTCTGGGTGAGGCTGTGCCCACAGGCCCCCAGGAGCGTCTCTGTGCTCCAGCCTACTCCAGCCCCACCAAGTCACAGGTGGGGGTGCAGGCATTGCCGTCTCCCACCCCCACCCCAGGGCAGGGGTTGTGTAGGCAAGGCAGCATGCGTGCACCCTGCCCCTGGCTTGGGGCTGGCAATAAGGGTGGGTGGGGGCTGTGTTGGGGACAGTCTTACTTCCCCTTGTGACCCCGAGCGTGGGATGAGCCCCATGTGCTGGCCACACCCACGCTCTAACTCTGGCTCCCGCCCAGGAGGCCTAGGCTCCGGAGCCCATCAGAGCCAGCCCTGGCTCCCGGGTCCGTGCTCACCTCCTTCTGCGTGGTCTTGATGAGCAAGAGGGTAGGCTCATGTCCTTCACACTGGAAGTAGAACCTGGCGTAGAGACACGCATGCCAGCTGTCACCCTGCACACCCTCCCAGCTGCCTCCTGCAGCCTCCACTGGCCCCACCTGTCTTGGGGTGGAAGACCTAGGAACTGTGCTTCCTTCTCTCTGGGTCCCGACAACACCCTCACCCAGGTGTTCTTCTCACCTGGCCCTTTTCTGCCATCCCCAGGACAGCCTGCCCTGGAGTGACTCAGGGGAGAGGCCTGCAGCGGAAGGCCCCGGTGCAGAGCCAAGCGCCAGGGGCTGGGGA